GCCCGCTGTCCGGTACCGGCCGCAGCGCGGAGCTGGCACCCGGCGCAGCCCTCCGCCTCCGCGCGCCCGCTCTCGCAGTGGCAGGGAAGACGCGTCCCGTCTTGGCGGGGGAAATCATGCACCGCCGCGCGTGTTCGCAAAATGAAGGGTCCTTTATGAACCAACCTCTTTAAAAACACCCAGAGATCAAAGTGCTTTGCTTGTTGACTGACGATCCTGAAAGAACAATCTAAATGGCCTGAACGGTTCCACAAGAACTGCATCTCGGTAAAAGGTGCCTTCTAGGGAAACCTGGATGAGCTTTCACCTCAGGGACACTCAGTGGCGAATGCCTAGTGGATTCCTTTTAACATTCCCGCCCCGGCGGCTATTAGTGATTAGCCAGGTGTGCTGACTTCAAAGGGGACAAATACCTGCAGGGCTGAGAAAGAGACCCCCTTTGGGAGTTGGTTTCTCTCACGCACTGTCTGATGGGCTTGGTTGATTAGAAACGAAATAAAAGAACAGAGTAAAGAAAGTGACCTGTAGGTGTTCAAACTAACATCTCTGTATTGGCCAGCATTCTTAGAAAACACAGTGATATTTCATAATTTATCACTTTCACATGTTTCTTTTGTATTTCAATTTGAGTTCAGATTCTGCTAGTCTCTACAAAGAGCCAGTGTCCTCTTGTCTAGTGCTGTGATGGTGACAGATGTTATTGCTTGGAGAAATAGTTACTTGCATTCTGCATCCAGCAAAGGCAGTAACAGCTTTGAAAAGTTACTGGGAATGTTTTCTCTGTGGAGCCATTGAGCAACATTTGAACAGAATGTACAGAGCTAGAGTGGCAGAAATTGGTAAAAATACCCTGTCTTAGCCTGGGTTGTTAAAATACTGTTTTCTCTGTCCCAGGGGATTTTAATATGTTCTAATACCTCCTCCGTGCTGTTGGTAACTCCACGTTTGGATTGTATTTGATGAAAAGCCATGCACTTTTAAGTCTTTTAAATAGGTATGTCTGATTTTACCTGAGTAAGAAGTGTTGTATGAAACAGTTCTGACCTCTAATGGTCAGAAAGAGCAGTATTCTCTGAGGTACTTTCGGCGAGGATTGTGGTATGCTAGAGTTTGTCCTGACTGTGAGAATGATACTGAAAAGGTATAAAGAACCTGGTCCCCTTTCTGCCCTAGTGAGCTTATCTCTCTACCTCAGATCACAGGGAAGATTTTTTTTTTTAATGGCACTTCTAAATAGTATGCAGAAAAATAATTTTTTTAAATTCTTATGATTTAGACCTTCTAAAGACTTTATACTTGAATTCCTTTAAAAGCTTGTTGAATAGGGAGTTTGAGAAGGAAAGAGCAGAGAGATTGTAGGAGCTGTAGTGACAAATATTTAACTGTATTCCATGCTGATTCAGAAACTCCTGTGTTTGTAATTACGCTGTCATTTGTTTTAACTACACAGAAACACAGAATCTTAAGTTTGCTCTCTGGAGATGAGGAGAGGGAGTAATTTTTGAGGTAAGTCATCTTCTGGGGTGGGACTGAGTATGCTGTCTTTCTTATTGCAGGCAAAACGAGCAGTACAGCGAGGAGCCACAGCGGTCATCTTTGATGTTTCTGAAAACCCAGATGCCATTGATCAGGTATGAAGAAGGGGGCCTAGTTTTACTACAGCCTCGGCTGGGTTCTTTTACGGTTGCTGAGGTGAGACGTGAGAGCATATAGATCTCAGAGCACACCTGCCTTAAGATGGGCAACTACTGACCCTGAGTAACATGGTGCTGTTGTTTTCCTGCTCATCTTCTGACAGACAAGAAGCAATGGAGGTGTTGAGAATGAGAAAGAGAAAAGTTTGAGGAGTTATGTTTCTCTTCTAACCTTTGCTAGAATCCAGGACTGGGGTTGAGGTTTTGAGAAACATGGCGAGCTTTTTGTGGCCCATTGCCTAGTCAAGGTTTTCTTTGCACAGCTCTGTGTACAAAACACAGGGTGTTTGGCACTACCCAGCTTGTGATCGATATTGTTGTTGAGCAGCTGCTATTTCCGAGGTTGCAAAATGGCTTTCAAACCTGGTTCTAAGCAAGATTCAACATTTCTTGTTCACAGCTGATGTCTGGCCTACATATTTTGTAGACAAGCGGGGTTGGGGGGGAGGGGGGGGGCGGTGTCTCTGTACAACTTCCATCCTTTCATTTGAAGTGGGTGGGGTAATAGCTCTGTGAAATGCTTTGGCAAGATCCTTCCAGGCAATTCTGAGTTATTTGAGTAGAGAGAAGAAATGTAACAAGCACAAGAATAATCTGCATTTCATTTAGTCTTGTTTTGTCTTGAAACAAACCTGCTGTTTCTGCTACAGAAGAGACAAGTAAAGCTGAATGTTTTTAAGTGCAGCCTGAGTTTCTGGGGGAAAAGAGAGACCATCAGTGTTTACATTGTAAAAGCTGGCTTTAATTCTGAAATGAGCATCTGTTGGACAAAGGAATGCAGACCCTGTGCAATGGATGCTTTGAGGACTGTGCTCTGCATGTGCATCAAGGCTACAGCCTTGATCTTGCAAACATTCTCAGGGATATTTTTTCCCCTTTTATACACGAGAAAAATATCTGCATGTAACCTGTCTTTTTCCAGTTTTTTTTCTGTGTTACAGCTTCCAGTTATTTTCAGCCACCCTGCTCTGAACTTGCAATGTATAATTACTGCCTCTTACTCTCTTCCTTCTACCAGCAACAGCTGCCCTTCCTTGATTCCTGATAATAAACTGTGTGGAACTGTCTCCAGTAGCTGGGAAAATAGGCTAGTGGATAACTGAATGTTTTGGGTGTACCAATAAAATGAAAGGAGGTTGGTGGCTTGGTGCAGTAGCTGACAAGGTACGCTCTGATAAAGGACAGAGCAGCAGCCTGTGCAAACACAAACAGGGGAGGAATGACTAGACCTAGCTTTCAGACTCTAAATGTACGAGTTATTTTATTGGCTCCCTTCTCATGCTGCTCTGGACACTTGTGTTTCATGCATTTTGATTCTCAGCCAAAGTCTTCAGAACCTTTAACATCATGGATGTTGTGGTTTAGGCCCAGCTGGCAACTAAACCCCATGCAGCCACTTGCTCGCTCCCCCCTGCCAGTGGGATGGGGAGGAGAAAATACAAGAAAAGATCGGTTGGATTCAAGTACTTTAGCTAGATTTTAGCTCCTCAAAAGACATCTGTCTTAAAAATAGTTTGATCAGTGTTTTCAGAGGCCCAGTCAAATATTAGGAAGAATCTGTTTTAAAGTCTCAGTGAAATCTGTCACTATCATCTCATCTGGGCAGATTAAGTAGAGCACTTCATAAACAGGATGATAAGATCCTGATATCAGTTGGTGATATCTACGTGTTTTATAACAGGTCATATCAACAGTATAGATGGGTATCTCTGCCATACACTATTCTTGTTCACTTTGCTCACGCTTCTGTCATCTGATTCCTTTCCCCTGTACCATTTCCATATTTCCACCTGTTTGTCAGTGCCTTCATGGTTTGTACCCACTAGCCTCTGTACAAGGATTTTTCCTGTGTATTGGAATAAGCTCTATGAATTTATCACGTTGGTGCCATTTTGTAACAGAACAATTCTCTTGTCTTGTTATTCCCCTCTCTGGTATGTAGTTTATTAGATTTTTTTGTTGTTGTTGTTTTTCTGGATTTGTTGTCCAGAGAAGTTATGCAGTCTCCACACTTGAAGGTTTTCAACATCTGACTGGATAAAGCCCTGAGCAGCCTGGTCTGATGTCATAGTTGACGCTGCCTTGACCAGGAGGTTGGACTTGTGGGGTGCCTTCCCACCCACATTATTTTCTGATTCTGTGATTTCTCCTTTCAGAAAAACTTAACCTGGACCTGGAAGAAAGTTTCAGGGTGAATTAAGCTGTCTACTCATATGCTTTAGTCTTTGAGGTCCTCATCCTGCAATCAATAGCTCTAGTGGTTGCTAGAACCCAAATAGCTGTTTGAATGGATTTGCTGAGTTAAGCATCAGAAATTACAGACTTTCACTAGGTACAGAGAACCTGAAAGACAGGACTCTGACATGAGATTGTTCAGAAAGCTGAAGAAATTTGTATGTGAATAATATAATTACAAAGCTGAAATAACAAAAGGTTCTGAAAATGTAGCAAGGCCATTTTTTTTTGAGTGTACAGATTTTAACTTATCACAGTATTGATGTATGCACTGGCACATAATGTGGTTAAGTTAAATCTGCTGTTCAGAAATAACATTTGCCTATCCTTAATCTTTGTTTTGGTCAGTGAAGAAAAAGCAGCTTAAGTCAAAAGTTTAAGTCATGTTTAACTCTGCAGAATACTTAAGTGAAGGTCTGGGCTAGAAGAGAACTATTGGTGCTTGAATTGATTCCACGTTCATATTCCTTTACTCTTCTCTCCATTGTCCAAAAGAGGTAGTTTTCCTGAAATGTGCCTTTTGAGTAGATTTTTTTGTTTGTTTGTTTGTTCTAGCTGAACCAGGGTTCAGAGGACCCTCTGAAGAGACCAGTGGTGTATGTGAAGGGTGCTGATGCTGTCAAGCTAATGAACATAGTTAACAAGCAGAAAGTGGCACGAGCAAGGATTCAGCATCGCCCCCCACGGGTGAGACTTTAAGAAACTTTAGATTTTACATTGCTGTTACTTCATGTAGTGCTTGCTAACCGCACAGAGCGCGGAGGTGTTTTGTTGCTCCCCATGAACATTAATAAATGTGAAATTCTGTTGACCTAAATAAATTGAGCAGCTGCACTGTGGACAAGTGGCTACACTTGAAGTAAGTATGGAATCCACAATGTGGTATCTGCTCTCTTTCATAACGATCCTTTTGAAAATATAACTGGCTAAAAAATTTATGTACTAGAAGTTTTCCTTTTTTCTTAGTTAAATAACTTAGTTAATACACACTCCTGATAGTTCAGGTTTGTAAGGTGGTCTGCCCTGTGTTAACAAATAATTCTGTGTGGTACTTTAAACATGGGTTAATTACTTGATACCTGATATTTGTAATTATAAAATTGTTTTTCTAGAGGTTTTTTTTGAACGCTCTCTATATGTAGTTTACAGAAGAACAAAGCTAGAGGTCATCCATGTCCCAGTTACCACTTTGGGTTTTTTGCATTTTTATGGCATTCTTCTGTTAAGAAAAGTATTTGAGAAGCTGATCATTCACTGAAAATTCAGATGTTGATTTTCACTCACTTAAGTACACAAGCAAACCAATAAATCATGAAAATTTGTGTTAGTCTGAATCACTCTGTTAAAAAAAACTGGGTTTTGTGGAATGGGTCCAGAGACACTAAATCTGACATCTCGTGACTGGCATTCTGATTATTTCATTCACTTGCAGTGACATACGAAACCTAGGTTTTGTCTCATAGAATCCTAGTTAATGAACAGTGTGTACTTTTGACTTTTGCTGTTGTGACTGTGTACATTTGGCACTTGTAGGGAAGAGAAAGGAACAACAGATCTGAGTATGATCTAAAGAAAGGAAAAATAACATTTTTCTTTTAATTTTTAAGCAACCCACCGAGTACTTTGATATGGGAATTTTCCTGGCCTTCTTTGTGGTTGTGTCTCTTGTTTGCCTCATTCTTCTTGTCAAGATCAAACTGAAGCAGCGACGTAGTCAGGTAAGAGCGGTAATGGGATATTCACTGAATGCTGAAGGTTGGCTCCTCATACTGTGACCTAGAACTTGCTCTCTACTTTTGGAAATGCTGGACGCTGACTTAAGATAGCCATCTTTGTGGGAAGAGTTTTATCCATGGATGTAGGCCTTTGGAAATATTGGAGATGTCTTTTAAAGGAGATTTTCACTGACCAGTGACGTTCATTCAGTTAAATCCTGAAATGAAAAGAGTACGGAAGCAGACTGTTTGGCCGTTGCCAAGGAATAACATCTCTGGTTGTTCAGAGGTTGATTGTTAGTAGCACTGGTGTATTTCTATAGAAGTCCAAGCTCTTGTTGCTGTATTGTGCAGAGAATATCAGGATTGAAAATAAATTGTAACTCTTTTCGATAGAATAACATCTATTGATTCTTAATGGCAGAGGTTTGGAGGTAAAAAGTTTGTTTAGGAGAAATCCTAGGTGAGATACTTGAAGTTTGTCCTGTCAAACGTGAAAGGGGAAGCTAATTGACTCTGAAGCTTGTAGTTGTAAACTGCCCAGTATATACAGGTAAAAGGAATGGAGAGCACTGTAGATGCTTGGGACTCTTGCTTTGGGCACATTGAGTAGGAACACAGAGATGTTATGGGCCAACAGCAGTGTGTGAAAAGGGGGGATGATAAATTCTACAGTAAAATGAAAAGAACCCACTGCCTTCCTAAACTTCTGTTATTGATTAAATTTGAGGGGAGGGGAGAATAATACAGCTAATTTAGTAACATTTCATTTTAATCCCTCTAAAGTATTGCTTCTGGTAATATGGTGGTAACAGCATAATGGGGCATTACAGTCAATATTGACAGTTCAAAACAAGTTCCTGGCCAAGTCTTCTATGTTGCCGTGAGTAGTTGCTGCCTGTCAGTTGAGCAGTTGCAGTGTATCCCAGTTGTCAGCACCTTCACCCCGTTTCGATTCAAAGTAGCTTATCATTCTGCATGTGGCATACATTCTTTTCATCAGGCTTCTGATCTGAATTCTAATTAGCTTTCTCTCTGCCTAATTTATGAAATTGTACATTAGTCTGGGCCTGGCGTGTTTTCATAAGATACATTAATGTGATACGGTGGTGTTTCTTTGCTACTGCACTATATTACCTTACGCAGCAATGTTGCCTGTTTTTTTTTTCCTTTCTTTCTTTCTTTCTTTCTTTCTTCTGTTGTAGAATTCCATGAACAGGCTTGCAGTGCAAGCATTGGAAAAAATGGAGACCAGGAAGTTTAAGTCCAAAAGTAAGGGACACCGGGAGGGTAGCTGTGGAGCACTGGACACACTCAGTAGCAGCTCCACCTCTGACTGTGCCATCTGCTTGGAGAAGTACATTGATGGGGAGGTAAAGGATAAATGGTTTCTTCAACATGGGCTGAGAATGTAGCTGGTTTATTTTAGCACTGTGTTCCGGGGCTGCTGGGTACAATGTGTACTGAGGTGGTGCTGCTTGCCAGACTGATGGCAATGAGTAGTTGGCTCAGCCTCAGCTGCAATCTTCAGCTCCCAAAGAGATCTCGGGGCCTTTTGGCACACTACAGAGTGAGAGATCTCATTCTGCAAGCCAGTACCTCCATCCAGTTGCTTTTCTGAGGAAGAACTCATAAAGAAGTCAAGGTTACCCAGCATTTAGTTCTCTGGGTATTTCTAACAAATTCTGTGCTAAGGTGATGGTGCACACAAGCTCGGTTGGACGTAAGGGATGCATCTTGTTTTTAATTTCTCAAGCGTTGATGGCACCTTGTCTTTAAAATGTCAGGTATGCAGCACTGCTGCGAAACCAGAGGAGGAGAAGGAGGTGATGCCAAAAGGTTCAGGAACCATTTTTTGACTTCTTAATTACCATCGCTGCATTGACGTTAGAGCTTGCCTTCTGTGACACAGTGGTACCCAGAGGAAGTAATGAAAGGATGAAATAGAAAATAGGTTCCTTAGAATAGAGGCAGTCAATAATCACAGCTTTGAACTTTCGTATAAAAAAATTGTTTGAGGACATTTTGATATGATTCATCATCTCTAAGGCAACAGAAAATACCATCTGCAGTATTTGAGTGCTACAAGCTACAAACAGAAAGTTAATAAAGTTAGCTGATGGGAAATTATTCAGAGTAGCAGGGATTAAGGCAGACAAGAACCTCAGAAGAGCTGTGCAAAATTGGACAGGAAATTCAATGCATGAACTTCAGCATGAAGTGATACACATAGGGAAGAGCTTCACATGTAGTAGTGATGGGTTATGAGGTGAGTATTACTGTTCAGGAGCAAGATCTTGAAGCTGGTTTAGATAGTTTGTGAAAGTTTAGATAGCCTTGTGAAAGCAGATCAGTGCTTTGTGGCAGTCAAAAAGGCAAATCAAATATTAGAAATGAGACAGGACTAGAGAATTGAACAGAAAACATAATTGCACCACTGTATAAGGTCAGTCATGCTCTCTGGGTACTGTGTGTACTTCTGATCTCATTTCACAGAAGATACGTTGGAAGTGAAGGTGCTTCAGAAAAGGGCAGTCTCAAAGCGATCAAAGATTTTGAATGGTTTCTGTACAAAAAAAATGACTGACTGGGCTTAGGACTGTTTAGTCCTAGATTACTTTGGGGCAGAATGAGTACAAAATTGTGAATGGAGAGCATGAACAGGAATCAGGCATTCATTTTTTTTCCAATACAAGTTTGGGTGCAATTAAGTGAAACTGCTAGGATCCAATCTGGATCAAAATGTGGTGTTTCTCTGCCAGCTGGTAGTAGCCCTGTGGAACTTCCTGCCAAAGCATGTTACAAATTCAGAACTTGAGCTCATGGGGAGACTTCAATGGTACTTGGAAGAAAGATCTGTTACAGGTTTCTGAACTGTTAGATATCCAGCTCGGGAAGTCTTGTAAACAGATAATAGCTGAAGGATGAGAGTGCTGGGCAGGGAAAAAGTGTCATATACGTTGTGTTGGTTTTGCTTTTCCCTGAGTGTTTTCAATTGCTAATAGTTGTAGGCAAGATGCATCATTAAGTGGACTCTATTGATAAATTTTTTTTTAAAGTTTATTTAATATATCAAGGAAAACTGTAATCATAGGCTCCTTCAAGGAGTTAGGTCATAGGGACACACAGCTTAAATTGTCCTAAAGAAAAGTAGTATTCTGCGTGGAGTTCTAACGTGCCTGCAGACTATTCTTTTAGTGACACCTGATCACTGGCTGTTGTGCTTTGGCTGTGTTGAACAGATGTCATTTTCTTCCTTCTTACCACTTTGAGACTAATAATTGATTCATTTAGTAGCTAGGTTGAAAAAAACTAGGAATAAGCTGTGAAAAATTCACTCATTAGGAAGGAGTACTTTTTCACGTTCCTTCATCTGTTCCTGTAGGAACTGCGTGTCATTCCCTGCACTCACCGATTTCACAAGAAATGTGTGGATCCATGGCTACTGCAGCATCATACCTGCCCTCACTGCCGCCATAACATCATAGGTAAGCACTGCACCCGGGTGCTCTGCTGTGTCGTCCATTTCGGGCTTAACAGCCTACAAGGTGAAACAGAAATTGTGCCTGTTTGTGAATCTCCACAGATCTGATAGTCCTAACTGTCTCTAGGGTTGTGTTACAATAAAGACTAACTTCTTTAAAAACGACTGCGTACCCTGGACTAACAGGTCACATTCGTGGTTTCCCTCGGTCTGGGTGCGATGCCCAGCAGAGGACAGCATTGGTCAGCTTCTGAATGCAAGGAGGACAAATAGATATAATAGACGGGTATGTTTTCTCTGGCTAATTATGAAGAAAAGACTATGTATTGGTTTTTATTATTCCATGGTCTTTTAACTTGGAATGTGGTTTCCCTTATTTGCCCTCTCCCCCTTCCATTTCCTCTGTCTTGAAAAAATTTTCTATTAATACACATTTATGTAAAATAATGTATAAAGTGAAAACTCTGGCAACAACTTAACTTGCAAGATCCAGAATACTGTGTAAGCAGAAGGTTTTGCATGTATGAAAACAGTATCTGAAATCACTCATTTTCCTTTTCAAGCGAATACAGTTGTGTTTCAAAGTCTTCCAGGCAGATGCTCTTGACTCGTCTTTGTTATTTTTCCTTTTGTGTAAAAAATAGTTGCCTGTTGTGTGCATAATGTAATGAAATACAGAACAAAATATCCTTCTGTCTTGCATAAAATATTTTCCCTTTTATTCCCTCCTACTTCTGCTTCTCCACTTCTATTTCTCTCATTCAGAACAGAAGAAGGGAAATGCAGGTCCAGTCTGCCTGGAATCCATCAACCCAGCCCGCAGCCGGCAGCAGAGGGTGATTCTGCCCGTCCATTACCCAGGCCGGGTGCACAGAGCCAACCCGATAACAGCGTATCCCACGCGGACAAGCATGGACCCTCACGGAAACCCTATTACAGTGCTTACAGTCGAGCGACATGGCGAACAGAGCCTCTACCAAGCCCCGTCCCCAGCCTATATCCGGAGCTACCAGCCTATTCATTTGGACCATGCTTTAAACACGCATCACTGCAGCCTGGAGCATAGGGCTTACTCTCCAGCTCACAACTTCCGAAGACCCAAGTTTGGTGGACGCAGCTTCTCCAAAGCGGCGTGCTTTTCCCAGTACGACACCATGTATCAGCACTACTACTTCCAAGGCCTTAGTTACCCTGAGCAAGATGGACAGCTTCCAGCTGGCATTTCCTCAAAGGGTCCTTCCCGTGCCTTTCAGCCTGGTAGCAGCATGCTTTTCCCTCCTGTGGTACACGTAGTGCCCTCATCCCGCTTGGAGAGCTGCAGTACCTCCAGCTTCAGCTGCTATCATGGCCATCGTTCAGTGTGCAGCGGGTATTTGGCCGACTGCCCTGGGAGCGACAGCAGCAGCAGCAGCTCTGGTCAGTGCCACTGCTCCTCTAGTGATTCCATGGTTGACTGCACCGAGGTCAGCAACCAAGGGGTTTACGGGAGCTGCTCCACGTTTCGCAGCTCTTTGAGCAGTGACTATGACCCCTACGTTTACCGCAGTAAGAGCCCTTGCCGAGCGGGTGAGGTCGGTGGCACAACCAGGGGTGCAGTTGTTCTCTTGGAGGGGCCCCCCCAGGACGAGCTTCCAGCCCCCAGTCACAGTCTGATGGGTGCTGACTGCCGGCCTATGCCATCTTCTTCCTCAGGGGACCAACTGTCTAACTGCAGCATGGATATGAACTACAGCAGTAATTCCTCACTGGAGCACAGGGATCCAAATGGCACTACCTCAGAGGGAGGACACGAGGCCACTCCCGGTGCTGCCTTGGATGTTAAAAGGAACTGGAAGAATCCCGAGATAGCGGGGCCGCTCGTGGAGCAAGCGTGCGCGTGCTGCTTTGAACTCCAGCACTCTGCCCTGGAGCCCAGCAGCGGCACGGCCGACTGCAGCGCGCTCTTCCTCACCCCTCCGCTCTGGGGGACGTGTGGCCCTGGGATAGAACCACAGTCAGGGAGCACCCCGGGCTTGTACAGTATTAACTCAGACCACTTACATAGGACAGATGGGGTGAAATACGAGGGGTTGCCCTGCTGCTTTTATGAAGAGAAGCAGGTAGCCTGTAGTAGCAACAGTGGCAGTGGAGGTGGTGGCTGCTATACAGAAGACTATGCAGTGAACGTGCAGTACACGCTTCCTGATGACACCTTGCCAAGCTGCTGTAAGGGTGTATGTGATCTGGGTCAACGCATTCCCATAATTCCTGAAGACAGAGACTGTGAGCTGATCCTACCTACAGAGTGCCAAGGGACCCACGCAGGAGGCTGCAGTTCCTGGGATGGAACACCTGAGCTAGATACTTACCTGCAATGCCAAGGTCTCGGAGAGGTACAGGACGAGAGGGAGGTGTGCTACGAGGCAACATCATTCCTACGGCAGAACTACTCTCAGGAGGAGGAAGCTGGAATGTTCTTCCCCGGTCCCACTCCCAACTCCCAGAAGCTGATGACAACCACAATGGCCACAGGTAGTATGTGTGCTTTTTTGGATTACTCGCTACCTTTCTGTCCTAGCCTATGAAATGCTCCAGCTTCCTAGATACCTGCAGCCATAAAGTTTATTGCCATCCTTTGTGTAAGAGTAGGTTGTCGACTAATCCTTCACCCAGAAGTGCTGTTCTCTTGTTACCTGTGCTCACTTGGTCATAGCTAGAGAATAGAAGATCATAGTTTACTAAGTAAGAGAAAAGCTTTCATACTCAGGCATCCGAGGTGTTTATCTAACACCTTTATCATGTATCTCACGTGTTTAAGTAAGATAAGAGCTTTCATACTCATCCTTTGTGGGGAAGGGAAAAAGTGATTGCAAGTACCAGGCCCCCATTAGAGCTCCTACAGCCAGGGACACTGTGACAGTCGTGGCAGCAGTGGCAAGGTGCCTAAGCAGGCACGGCCGCAGTGCTGGGAGGGGACAGACAAACTGAAGAACTAAAAAAAAAAAAAAAAAAAAAAAAAAAAAAAAAAAAAAAAAAAGAGAAAAGGTTGGAATTGCTGTAGTAGAAGAATATGTGGGAAAGCCTCTGCTGTTGACATACACTAAGAACCACTAGCAGGATGAAGGGGGTAGTCCTTACCTCTCTTGCTAGGGCTGCTTTTAAGGATGTTTAGAGAATGGTAGGATACCCTAGGTTGGAAGGGACCTCAGGCTGTTGTCTAGTCCAACCTCTTGCTCAAATCAGAGCCAGCTCTGAGATCAGACCAAGTTATTCAGCTTGCCAGATTAGGCTATGTTTATCTGGTCAGGCCATGACAACCTCCAGGGACGTAGAGCGCACTCCTTTTGGGCCCCCTTGTTCCTGTGCTTGACTGCCAGCATGGTGAAAAGATTTTCCATATATCCAGCCTGAACATCTCATGTTTCAACTTAAGCTCCTCGCCTCTTGTCCAAAATGCATCACTGTGAAGACCCTGGCTCCATCGTTGTGACAACCTCCATGCAGGTATTGCAGAGCTGCTGGGGGGTGCTGCCAAAGCTTTCTCTTCTGCAGGCTGAACAAGCCCCAGCCCTCAGCCTCTTCTCATGGGGTGAGTGCTCCAGCCCTCTGAGCACCTTGGCTCTCTGCTGAACTCGCTCCAGTCAGTCGATGTCTTGTTCTGGGGGCCCCAAAACTGGAGGCATTATTCAAGATGCAATGTTCCTTAGTTTTCTTTATCCTTCAGGTGCTGGATCTCATCCCTTGGAGAGAAGCCAAATCGGTGACTAGACCTGTCCAGATGATCCCAGATGGAGAAGCAGAGCTTATCAGAGACTCCAAATTCTCATGGACTTATTTTTTTTTAAGCTTTGATAAACACACAAAAGTGGTAATGTGGAGAAGTCCCTCCCACACTTCCCATACTCTTTCTCTGAGTCCACATCAGCTTGATTATCTCCTTTGTCCCTCTTACCTGAAGCCTTCAGGCCTCCATTTGTGTTCAAAGCCCGTGTGGGACATGGTGTGGAGCATTTCTGAGCTCTAGTGTCATTTCTATATTAATGACAAAGTGTTATTTATATTTTCTTTTTAGAAGTGACCGTGTCAGCTCTTGCTGAGGGGTAACACGGTGTGTTAAATAAGCCAGGCTATGTATAGATGCTTATCTCCTACTTAAAGGAGTCCAGCCTTCGATAAGCTCAGGGCTACACCTGCCTTAGAAACCAGATAGCACCTTGAAATATAGTAGTCCAGAGGGATGCAGCTGCTGAATGGATGCTCAGATACCGACTAGTCCTAGTAGCCAGCAAGTTATATGAGCGCTTTTGAGGGAGGTGAAGCGTGGGACTGTCTCCTTTCTCTTCCTTCCTCCCCCTTTCGTGCTGCTCTGATGATTTGGCTGAGAAGGGTCTCCTGCCATTATGATTAGTTTTAACAGAGTGAGGGTAGGGAAACTGGTAGCTGAGAATGTTCTCGTCCTTGCTTCCTGCTAAACCATGGACCTCATTGTATCTTCTGACTGGTGAAGCATGCTGGGGACCCTTCCCTCAAACATGCTAGAAGAAAGTGCTTGGAAAAGGTAATACCTTTGTAGGTAACGAACCTTGCCTTCCCACAGGAAGTTTTTCAGGCACCTGTAGCCCCTGTTACGGCTGTGAGGAATGCTGACATGTGCAGGAAAACAGCTTGCAGGGGGCTTGCAGCTTGGCTGGCTCATTTTGGAAGCGGGTCAGGAGGTGTCTTACTTCCTTACAGACTGCAGGCATGCCTAGGGGAAGCAGTGCTTGTCACCTTTTGTGCATGTGGGAGAGTGAGGGACTTGATTTAATCATTTCTTCTTTGCTGTGGTTGATGTAGCTTCCATAGATGGATCTGTTTTAAAGGTTTCTTGGGCCCAGCCAGTTGTGTTTCATTTTTGTCTTGTGTACAGAGTGCTCTCTGTACCCCATTAGCCTGGGCACATACTTTTGTTCTTGTTCTTGTACTAGTGGGGATGTTTGTTATCATGAGATAATATATGTCGTCACTTCTGATAGCAATTGTTTCCTGTGGAAACAGCAGCTTCTGAGTAAGAGGCTACCATAGCGTGGTTTAAATTGCCTGTCATGCTGCATGTGCCTGAGGACACAGTGTCATCCTGTCTGGTGTATTCACAGCAGGAATTCTCCTAAAGGGAAACTAATTATTTAATGCCCACAGTGCCAGTCTTCTGAAAAGATTTGTCCAAAGTTCCATACACTTTGGAGATACTTAAAAAGACATGAAAAAGAGATATACACCTCATGTTACATTTTCTGCCAAAGTAATGTCCTTGACATCACCAGGCTGATTGTGAGAACCAGCAAAGTTAATTTGTCTGCTTTATGGTCACAAACTAAACATTTTAAAAGAAACATCTAAGAACAGATAGATTCATCTGTTTACTTTTACTTTCTGTATTCAGTAAGTTAGGAAAAATTTAAAGGAATTAACATTAAATATTTTTAAATGAACACACACAGCTGTTCAGAGAATTAGTACAAGGCAATATCTGGGTATAAGGTCAAAAGAAGAATTCCAATAAACACATTTTCTGTGTATAAAGCTTATTGAAAAAATATTCATTCTCTGAATGACTGAATTGGTAAGTGTCGGGAGAATAAACTCTAAAGGTTTGGGTTTTTTTCTTTGGTTGTTTTTTTTAAGTCTTACCTTTCTCCTTCCTCCTCAAAAGAAATGCATTGTATGACTGTGGTATACTACCTTGGCTATTCTGCTTGGTGTTTTGTGAGGCACTGTCTAAGGCCACCTGAGATGCATTATGCTCTATAACTACACAGCATGTTGTGGTAAAATGTGGTTATAAAAAAGAAATTTTAATATTCTGGCTCATGGTGTTCCTGGATGTACTGGTCTCATTCACATTTTCTGGAAATCTCTGCCAGTGCAACAGTCTCTGCAGGCCTTACCACAGAGGTGCCCTACACCTGCTTTCTGTGTTCGGTTTTGTATTCAACATCTAGTTAATTCCCTGCTACCTGTATGTCCATACAGACTTACAGGCTAGCTGGCCATGGTAGAAGGTTTTTATAACAAACTGTCTTTTTACTACTTACATGAACAGTTTTCATTGTGTTTGGCTCATGAGGCACTATTTAAAATGTTTTTAATTAAAGTTATAGCACTTAAATTGTTTTGTATAAAATTTGCTGTAAAGATTTGTAATATGGTCAAAGGGCTCTTTCTCCTTCATTACCATTTTAAAAAATGTTTTAAAAGCTAGAAAACATCTTGTATATATTCTGTATATGTATAGCAGCACATTTCATCTATGGAAATATGTTCTCAGAATATTTATTTACTAATATATTTATCTTAAGCCATGTCTTATGTTGAGAGTGTGTGACATTATTGTAATAATCATTGAAAATCACTAACATGAGGCCCTGTAAATACATGATAATTGCACACAAAGATTTTACAATACTTGCCGACCAAAAATGATTTAAGAAAAGTTGTAGTTACCTGCAGTTTTGTAAGAAAGTGTACAAATGTCTGTATTAAAAAAAAAAAAAAGGAAAAACCACACAAAAATACAGTTCTGTTGCATATACATGTGGAAGTTGTCCTTCTTGTTTTGGGGGAAAGGACACAGATAGATGCCTCTGCTGAAAGGCATCCTCATGTGTTTGGAACCTGCCTGTTCCCTGTAGCAGAGGAACTTAATTCTGGTTTAATTTCAGTTAAAAATATTGTCCTAAAATAAAACTCGAGGCCTGAGCCAGCATGATGCAGGGGAATACAACTGGATAAATCATAGTCAAGCTAGATCCAAGTCCTTGCCCTGGATCATGAAGTCACGGGTCCCTCTGAAGAATAGCACTGTCCCGCGCAATTCCAGCGGCAGAGGGCGTGGTTAGACCAGAGGCGTTTCTGCAGACATCAGGAGATGGGTGCCTGGAGAGCAACCTGCGTGTGTGTGGGTGTGTACGTTTATGTATTTGTAGGTATTATACAAATATACGTACATATAATACAAATACAGATAATACGTATAATACAAATACGTATGTATTTGTGTAACATATGTTTATATGTTGTTGTGTAAACAGTTTGCCTCCACACATTATTTCCCATCCAGTGATATACACACATAAAAAAATCCTTTCTAGTCTCTTCCTCCAGTTTCTTCCTTCTCTCAAAGATTTCCACCTGGTAATTCCCTGGACTTTGCCCTCCTCTCATGGGTGTTCAAGCACACTGCAACTCAGTCACTTCAGAATTCAGCTGAGAAACGAGGCTTGCTTCTTTCCAATCCCCTGTTTCATATGTGAAAACTCCACATTTGGGATGACGGTTGCACTGAAGAGTATCGTTTTGCATTGGACTCTTTGTGGCACGAGGATCACTTACCATCCTCATCTCTAGTACTGTGGGAAAGTCTGGTCACTCTGAGCGGCTTGGTAATGGAATAGCAACAAGCAGGAGGGTGTTAAGCAGCACCAGCAAGTGCTTCCCAACCAAAGTACGTGCCTTTTTTTGCTTGGTGAACAGAATCTTGGTAATTGCCAATCATTATATATATGCATTTTTATTTGCAAAATAGTTTGCAAATTTGCTATTTAAAAATAGCACAAAACTTGCCATCTTTGTTTGGTTGATAAGCCTGTGTTGAGGGGTCACGTCTGAGTCTCCCTCTCCCTCCCTTCATCCCCGGTTTGCTATTGCTGTTTTGTTTTCTCACGTCTTGTTCTGAAGCAAACTGTGAGGTGATTGTGCTTTTAAGAAACAAGACATGCCTTTACCCCTCCTGTCCCACAGAATGCTCGGTGAGCCCGTACTCTGTCTCTTTGAGACAGACAGTTGTGGATTGTTGGCTGAACTTGAATGTGGTATTTAGTTGCATGCGCACACGTGCGCACTATTCTTGTCTCTTCTTTGTTGTGGCTTTTGTTTAATGACTAAATGTCATTATTTTTTTATCAAAAAATAACATTTTAATATTGGGGGGGGTTCTTTTCACTGTTGAAGTTCAATATTTAAGGAGCAAATCTCTGGTAAAATGAGAGTCCTGTGGGTACTATAAACCTGCGTGGAACCTCCATATGGTTAAACAAGAAAAGCAGGAGCAGACTATTCTTAATGAGATTGTACATTCCAGTAACACTTGGTGTTTCTGTAACACTATCTCATTTTTGCTGTAGTGATATTGGGTACATCTGTTAAATCCTATGACAGCTGTTAGGTAACATTGGTTATTACTTGGGTAGTGTCAAGAGTCCTTAAAAGGATGGTTGTCTTCATACTGTGTGGAGCCAGCCTGGCCTAAGTCTTTGGCCAGGGAGAAAACAGTGTACCTGAAACCAGATATTTTATCTTGCGATGGAAGCACCGTGCTCCTGTGACGTAAACGCTTCGTAGAAAAGAGTCTCTTTCAGAATAAAGAATGCATTTCCCTCATGGGGATTGAAACTTGTTGAGGGGGAAAAAAAAAAGTCAATAGTTTCCAGAATAAACAGACGTGTAAGAGGCCCTGTACCTGAATGGCAAGAAAGGAGAGCAGAGTAACTTGCCCTGTATAAGGGGAGGCCCATCCCTTGTGACAGTGGTGTTTCTAAAAGTAAATGAGGGTTTGAGTCCTGACATGAAAAGCTGGAGATAGTTTTGATATCTGACACTGGTATTCAGATGTTTACATAAAATGCAGCTGAAGATTTGAGAGCGTATAGCATTATTTTGTTCAGAAGGAAGAATTCCATGAGACATGAATCTTGAAAGAACATGGAAACAGCATTAAATGTTGCTGCAATTAGTAGAGAAAACAGCGAAAGAATCGTTATAGTTACTTCTAAAAGTTTGAAGACATGTAAACTGTAAACTTCAATTTGCTGTTACCTCAGAAATCACTTCTTAGAGTGGGAACTTATTTTTTTATGTAATCACTCTCAGCATTTTCAGCTCAAGTGTTCTCTTCACAGCAGACAATCATGCTGGTGAACTGCAGCAGTTTCTGCATCCTTTATTTAATGCTTCTCTACGCTTTGGCAATACTAGATGAACTTCTCCTGCAGAAATTCACTGTATTCATTTCTTTATAATTATTACTTGCAGCCATTTGCTGCATGCAGGATGACCACATATAAACACAGCACATATTTCAGTGGTGAGGCATTTCAAGTTTGATTCACTCTGTTTTCTTGTCAGTTTTACTTGGTTCATGTGATAGCCTTTGGATTTACAGTAAGTTGTCTCGAGACTGAAATTCAGAATGCCAAATTCCATCCCAAAGCACAGGTGCTCAGTAGAGTTCAGAATATATGAGTTGCATTAAATGTATGTGATTGGGGGGTGGGGGGGTGGTGTTATAGAAAAAATGGTGTGGTCTGAAGGCAATTACATTTTTCACTCTGAAGATCTCAAGGTAGCATGATGGTAAGGATCACAAATGTCTAGAATAATATTCAGGTGAAACTGTCACTGAATTATTATTTCCTTGGAAGATTGTGAAATACCATTGCTGCGAGGTATTAAGAACTAGTCAGACAAGTATTTGTCAGGAGTTGTTTATGCAGTTCACCCTTCCTTTAGGCCAAGTGGCGCACTAGAAAAGTCTGTTGGCAGTCCTTCCCGCTGCCTGAGAAGGCTTATTAAGCAGAAGATGGAACTGGAATAGCTAGTCATGCTCATTCAGGGACAGCCAAGTGTCTAATGATGTTTTGGCCTGTAGTCACACAGGCTGCAGATTCAGTGCAGTTTCCAGGGCTATCAGTGAGACTCTCCCATTTATACTATTGCCAGGGGAGCTTGGAATACAGACTTAATTCTTCAGTACTACTGGGTTGTCTGCATGAGCAGTGTGATAGACCTCCTCAACACTGTACTGGCTGTAGAAAATCTGGCAGAAACAAGCCCTAAAAAGGAACATGTTAATACTTGACTGAAAAAGCAGATGACATGTTTGATGTTCAGTTGGTCCTGAGAGTATATGTACATGAATTTGCAGAATCTGATGAACAGCCTAATACAATTACAAGCTAGAAATGGGATTCAGAGGAGGAAAGTGTATCTTAAAGTAGCTGTTTCATCAGCATCTATTCTGCCACAACACTGAATCTGAGTTACCCTCTTCTCAGTGCTCTTCTATCATATATACCAATGATTACTTCTATTTTTTTTCTATGGTTACAGTGTATAGAAAATTTATTTTTCCCAGAGTGTAAACTGACATCTTTTCTTCCTATAAAATGTTAGCAAGATACAAGCATAATATGCTGTATTAAATAATGCATTTCCTATACATATATAAATATATATATTACTATGGTAACATATCGGACATATTTTTAAATAACACAGTCTCTATTTCCCCCCAACATAACAATATTAAGACAAAAGTACATATAAAATCATTCAGTCAACAAACTAAACTAGTTTTAAAAGAAGATTCTGAATTAGGGAGGCCACTTGTCCAGCTGGCCCCCTTCCACCTGAGGTCCACATGTTCTGTAGGCTGCTGTAACGGACATGCTGCATGAAGTGAGGAGGCAGACTCACAAACTGCTACGGTGGCAGTGCCAGCGTGAGCACATACTGCCCCTGCTCCGGGGCAGACAACTCTCTTTTTCCTATGGCTTATTGTCCACTTAGCTGTGTTAGCTCACCTCTCTGTGCAACCACCCAATAAAGAAGATCAGAGACCTCACCTCTGTTAAAAGTAACTCAGGGAAGAAAAAGCGATGGTAATTTTTAACCTGATCAGTTTATTGCACCATCACACAGCCGGTCATACCAACACAACAGTGAGGAGGGGGCCAGAGCAGGGGCTGGAATGCGTGTATATGAGGAGGCAGCTCCTCCTGACGGTTTTGTTGTCAAAACAGTTGCTTTTGAAATTGTGGCCGATGTCACATTCGCATCCTGTCCAGCCTGCTGAGGGAACTGCTAGGTAGGAGGTCAGAAGGCCATTCATTACCATTCCAAACAAATTATTCTTCTGCAGTTATTTTCAATTTGTTGAAGAAAATGCTGTAAATATTGATATCTTGAGTGTCCTCCAGCTGTCAGCACTCAGCTGCTAGTGTTGTAGGGGTATTTCTGTATGCTGAATCATGTGGGATTACAACAGTTGTGCATGTCAGACTTTTTCTTCATTCTCTCCCCAAACCCTTATAGCAAAGACCATAAAGTGCCGTGTTAATGGATAACGTATATGTTGGCCATATACCACCACATCACCAAAGCCTCTGTACTAGGAGTGCGAGTGACCACACCACACTGAAAAAATCCACAGCAGAGATCTACCTGCATTTTCTGGTCTCAGGCCTGTATAGTAACAAGCACTACTTAAGGGACACCCTGTCCATGCACTTCTGTCTATTGCTCTGTTTCCTAGTATTAGGGGTATGTAAAATCAGACAATCTGAAATGGGAACATAACAATTTCCTCTCTACTTTTATCAGTGTGTATATCTGTGTACTGTCCAATACCTTGTGCTCAGTCACAGTCATTGTTGCCATGGCCAGTTAATCTGCTCTGACTGCTGTTTTAATGGGTCTTCATACAGGAATTGGATAAGCATTCCCTAGTAAAGGCCCATGAAATGAGATTTGGTTATTTAAAAAACAGTTGAGCTAAGGGACTGATGCAAAAATCTCAGTTCCTAAATTCTCTAGATTTTGCATTAGCAGCATTAGTCTTTTGTTGTTTTTTATAATGGGCTTTCTCTAATTTCATGGTGAAATTAAGCTCTTTACTAAAGAAGAGAAGCTTAACAGTTCTGTATTTTTTCCTTGTGCAGTAGGTAGAAATCAGTCATGGGGTGCTCCTGATGTTTTTTCAATTTATCAGCATTAGCTAACTGCTTTATGAATGCCCCTTTGCTCAAAAACACCTGATAAGGCAGTTAAACACAGATTTGTCACAAGGTACTCGTAACTTAACTCTTAAGGATCTAGCTTTACACTCTGACTCTCTCCTCCTGATTAATCAGTGAACTGAATTAAGCATGCTTTGGAAGCAAAGTAATTTGTTTTGCTGCAAATCTGTGAGGTAGACTCTGCCTACATAGCATGATGCAAAACCTGACAAAAAGGCAATTTAAAAATTTTTGTTGGGTCTGAAACAGATAATGTTTTTTTGTCCAACCTGATGACACGTAAGAGATATTTTACAACTCATCCTGTCTTGATTTTAGGCGATACTGTAATTATCTTTTCCTGTATCCTTTTCAGCAGCTCATGCATGAAAGTGCTAGATGTGGATATTCAATTTTTTGATATAAACAATGCCATAATTGCTGGCTTAGTAAAGTCTTGTTTCTATTAAGCATTTATTGTGGAATTGTTCAGCTATCTCTGGCAGTCATCTGTGGTACATAAATGGAGCTGGAATTAATTCAGGTAAAAGACTAGATCTACAATGGCAAGTAAGGCATGATGTTTCACTGTTTAACTCTTAGACACCCTATTTTTTCAAGGAAATCTGTAGACCACATGAAGGGGTTGTATGTTAAAAACAGAAGAACAGATACATAGTGAATTTAAACTCGGTGACAATTTTCATACTTCTCTTAGTTATCTTCTGTAGATGCATTTAATAGTTGTTCTCTGACCACAGACTGCTGGTTTATGTTTAAATGGATATTTATTCCTTTTCTCTTAACCAGAATTGCTGTACTTTAATGGCTCTCACTCAGTTTCCTCTAACTTAGTTTGAGGAGCTGCTCACTGAGTAAACTTTTTCAGTCAATTTATCTGACTTCTGTATGGTCAGTTTTTCCTAAATACCTTGCTGAGGCTGAAAGACTCACTGTTGATCCCTGGTGGTGGGAGGAGAAATCTGAGCATCATAGATGGACAGATATTCTACCAAAGAGAAAAAATAGTTAATGCTGTCTGTTGCAATCAAAAAGAAATTATTTCACAGATCAGATCTGCACTGATGTTTTAGTTCTTTGACAACTGAGGGCATTAATCTTAAAAATGCAGTTCAGTTGAATTTTACAGACAAGGAGACAACTTTTTCTTCTCACAGGTAATTAATGCAACTGTTAGGTACCTGTTTAGATGCACAGCCTGGCATGGGTGAGTTGTTAGTAGGAGGCTACAACACTGTAAATAGCTCAGGCTGCTGAGATCAGTATCTTTAACTCCAGAGTAAGAATTTGTGTTAGTCAGCCTTACTGTTTAAAAATTCCATGGATTTACAGTTTCTTTGGCCACTTCTTTAAGAAGACTTAAGGTTATATCCAAAATGAATGCAGGACTTCAAACTGGAGTTACAACAGTTTTTTAAAGGAACACTGTGAATATGAACAAAATTATCATAAACAACAGTGAATGATGGGTCAGACATAGTCATTTAAAAAGTCTTGCTCATGCAATTGGTAAGCATTACTCCATCAAAACTCACATTTGCAGCTGAAACTCCACAAGGTATTTGCCTCCTGAATGTGATTTGATTTTTGTTTGTACATCTCTGCTTATAGAAACAGAAAATGTATAAACAGCTGAGCACTGGGCAGTCAGGCTGATAGTTTCTCAAAGTCTTTGACTCCCATTTGACTGTATAGCACCGTTTAGACATGTTTTATATTAAGGCAAATAAGCTCTGGTGGCTGTGGCAGCTGAACAGGTTATCAGTATCTACCTCTGTCTTCAACCTTGAGAATAAAGGGACTAAAGTAGCCTGATACAATACAGTGATACAGGAGAGCAGGACACAGTGAGTCCTCAACCTGCAGATAATCATTCAATTACTTTGCCAGGGGTACAGGACATTTTGAATTTTACAGGCTGTTACATGTATTAAGTGCATTGGTTTAAAGGCAGTAATTAACAGCCCTACAGATTTGATGAGCACCAGGTATTTCAAAACTATTTCCGCAATTAAATCTGTTGTCACTAGTATATTCAAGAGAACAGCAGGGAGGCAAAGTCACTCAAAGGCCTTTGTAAATGGACTTTTTGGAAAACAAGTATGAGATTGGGAGAAAAAAAAGATTATTCCCAAGTCACCTGGATTTTAAGAAGATTGATTCTTCTAAAATAAAAGACACTTCAGTTCCCCACTAGTGGGTTGCAATCATCTTGTTGACTTCGAAGCTTTTTCTTGAAGATGGATATCGATGTGGATGGCTGGTAAAATATACTCCAGATCTCGCCAGCAGTAGTAACCTCACTGGAATCTTCTGTTTCAGTTGCAGATGGTATCTGATGGGATCTAGGAAACAAGAGTTAATCCATGTAAGTGCTGAGGTGCCTGGGAAGCTGCTGTATGTCTGCATTACTGTTACACTGGTAATGCTAGCAGCTTCCACTACCTCTGTGACACTTTTTCCTTCTACCTGCTGCACAGTTGTGTAAGTTTTTGGAGCTTTTGTTGGTCGTTTCTTGGCCAAAGGAAAAGTTAGGCGTTCTGCTGCTAGCTAAGTGGTCTGTACATATTCTATTACTAATTGCTATTAAAATAAATTAATCTCCTTGTATATTTAAGCATGGTTGTGGTATGTAAATAAAATATTCAACATTTATAATTTGCTGATACCCATTATTTTACCCAATAAGCGTCCATCTGGAGGACCCAAAAATTACTTGCTATAAGTGTAAAGAAATAAAGTAATAAAATTACGTTGTTGCTAATAGGCAAAAAAATTATACTGGTTAACTGTCACACCATAATACAGATACTAATTTCTGTGATTCTTTTTTGAACCATTTTCAGTATTTCAGTTAAAAAAAAGTATTAACTAGCCTATACTTATCTTTTTTCCCCAGTTCCCCAATCTGGGATGAGGTTTTATCATAATTTGACCTCTTCCCACCAGTGCTAGATGTCTGATTACATTTTCCTCTTTGCTAAATAACATCACTTTGCTAAATAACATCACATCACGTGAGAAATCTTTTTATTCCTTAAAATACCAATCTTATCAAAACAAGACCAAAATAAATATTCTAGCAGCAAATGCTATCCTAACTGACTGGAAAGTCATTTAAGATGTGCTTATTTAGTATCTTTTATGAGGATACAAATACGTAATATATAACTTGGTTTTAAATATGACCAATCTGACAGAAGGCAGAGAAATTAAGTGTACCAGGTTTGGTACAGAGCTGAGATGTCAATTCTTCAGGAAGAGTTTTGCTTCATACTCACCTCATGGTAATGTGGAGAAATATCTTTGCTATTATGGCTGTAACACTTAGGATGAGCAGTGCTGTGAGACTATATATTGTCCATTCTGTAAAAAAGAGGAGAGGGAGGAAGAAGGAGAGGGGAGAGGAGCTCTCAGTACATTCATTTCCTTACAGTTTTTAAATTAAGAATACTGCACAAAAGAAACACATAGCCTTCTGATTGTTTAGCCAAAATTGTAGTTTGAAGACGCCTTAAACCTTTAACTATTTTCTGAAAGGACTGGCAGAAACTGTGTAACTGTCAGTCAGACCTGGTTTTTCCCATGCAGGAGTGCTCCCTGTAAAATTGGAAGTTGGAAACAGACTAAACAACACACTGGAATATATGCTACCAGTAGTAACTGTTTGCAAGGACATGGCCTAGTTTTATATCAGTAATTATGTAAGTAATCACCAAGTATGGGGTTTTTTTTCCTTTCTAGAGTCTACTGAGACAGGTGATCAGGATTTGTGGTCTGCTATTACCTTACACTGAAGTCTTAGTCATTGTATTTTACATTTCAGTTTAGTTCTGGTTGTACCAGCAAGTCAAGCAGGACTTAAAGAACAGCCTGACACCTTGCAACATTTGAACTGTTTAAGAGATGAGGGCTTAAAGGAAGGAGAATTCTAAATTTTTAGATCAACTTTCATTTGGACTTCCATAATTTTGCAGTAGGAGGCTACAGCATGTCGAGATGGGAAAAGGGATGGCACTAGAATGTAACTGGTGTATTTAGCACACTGAACAGCCATGCAAGGACCTTGAATTATTAGAACTGGAAAAAGGCCATCACCTTCAGAAGTCCTGAAGCTCAAAGTAACAAAAAAAGGAAGCATAAGTTCCCTCACATCCAATGTCCCTTCCTCAAAGCACTGACTGTCATGAGGATTCAACAGTATTTTCATAACTGCTTAAAATCCAAGGGTGCACTTTCATCTTAGGTCAATATGCCCAAAGTAGTTTAACATTAGGCAGCTTAAATGTAGCTGTGGTAACCTGGGTGCTAGCCTGGGCCTAATGCCAGAATGTCTGCTCACAATCCTGGGCATGTTCTGCAGCCTGGCTAGTTCAGGTTATGCAGCTCATCTGCAGCCTCATGCTTCACGTTTGGAATGCAGACAGCTTCAGGACTACAGAACGTTTAAGAGTGTCCACAGTGAGATTAAGGACCAGCTTCAATGATACATAAGAGCAGATAAGGGTAGTTTAAAGATAGGAGAGACCAGTAGTGATATTCACCAAAAGTACATTTCCAATCTTCAGTTTTACAACTCAACAATTTCCTGAATGATGTCTCAAGGTGACTAGATACATCTCGGTGGCATCTCCCCTGCACCCGTTAACTTGCCTCATCCTTATCTAGCCCTTTTTGTATTATTGCTGTAGCTTCTGTGAACTGGGATAACTGGGATGCATCCAGCATTCAGGCTCTTCTGGACTCTGTAAAAGCTTGCTCTTTCCAGCACCTTTTGCCACCTCTATGGTATGCACTGGTTACTGAAGCTGATTCTAGTAAGGAGGCTTCTCTGACTCACATCTTGTTCTCCTGTGCTTTCATTCTCAAGGACTTCACACTATTTCCAACTCATTTATGCTGAGAAATTAGTTTTGAAAAGTAATGAGAGCAGCACAGTTAGTGGTAATTAGACTAAATGAAAATTTATCTATTAGTAAGAGGCACAGTGGATCAGATAATGTGGAAGAGGAAGCAAAGGAAATAGTGACTCTAGTTTGTGCCTTGGCAAAATATCTTTCCTGTTTCCATGTTTTCTTATAATATTACCAGGCATGGAGCTACTAGGATGACTTGGACTTGTTGTGATGACATAAAGTATCTTTGATGACCGGGCTGCATTGATGCTGAGATTTCCTTGTTCATTTATCTTCTCTGAAAGTGTCTGATTCGTTGGAATCTTGTTTTGATGCACATTGTCCTTCACAGCTGAAAACACAAAAGTATGATTACAGTAACAATTTCTTAATAGGTATAATTGGATTTTGTTTTGTGCTTTTAAACAGATGTGCTGCTCTCTGGTTTACTTAGAGAACTCCAATAATCAGATTATGTCTGATGCCAGAAAAAGCCTGTACTTCACCAAGTTGAGATTCTCATAATTTTTCTGGAAGCTAATTGTTAATATTCACAGTAGGTACAACTCAAGGACTAGAATGTTTTTTCTTGATGACTTTCAATCTGAGTGGAACAGACTGTTGGAAAGAGCCAAGATGAACCAAGATGCAGATGGACTGCTGGTTTTTTTAGTTTGTTTCAGCTCTGTCATTTTCCAATCTGTTTTGACAGGTATGTATAGGATGGAATTTTTGAAAATTTAAATTTTATCTATTTATGACATAGCTGACTGGAATGTTCCAAACTGAGAGAAATTTTAGTGAAGCTTTTACCCACTGAGCAGTGGCAACAAGATATCTGCTCTTTTTTTGCTACTTCAGAAATCTTCTGTGTGAATTAAATGCTTTAACAGCTCATTGAAAGGTAGAAACAGCAAAGTTAGCCGCTCACCTCTATATCTGATAGCAAATCCCTGGGCCTGATTGATTTCATCTGAGAAAAAGTACAAAATGACAAAATCCAAAGAGATGTTAAAGGTGTGGGGAGGCCGGTTCTTGCCATTAAAACGGGCTAGAACATGATAGGTATAGCCATCCAGCAATTCCACCATATCTGTAGCATCTTTGATTTCAAAAAGGGCAAAGCTGAAGTGGATTCGAGATGCTCCTGGAACTTGTATGGTCCAGTAACAGACTTTGCCTGTGCCGTATGTGTCGGGAAAATCTGGGGAATAGATCACAGCTGTAGCAGAAGTGTAATTCCCTCCACAGGCACCAATAAGAGCTGTGAAAAGGAGAGGGAGAAAAATGAAATAACAAGGTTATACATTCATTATGCACAGCTTTAGCACTCCATAGATTCTAATACTCAAATGTGACTTGAAGGTACAGACTTGCTACCCGAGAAGGATGTGCTGTCTCTCAGATTGCTATTCTTTACCTTTAACAGCACTGGCAGCACAGCCGTTCTGTTGCATTGGCTTGAGACACACTGATTGCTCCAAGACCTATGTATCAATCTCAAATACTGAAACTATCCCTTGTCCTTGTAGGTAACCATATACCCTCTTCTGCATCCATGAAGGAACAGGATGAAAGCTAAATGACTGATTCAGGGACTTCTACTCCATCCCCATCAGGCAGGCAGGCAAGAAGATTAGTGACCCTAACTCTCAATTGTTGAATTACGGAAATTGCTTCACAGCCTTTTCAAATTGAAAAAATGAATCTTCACAGAATAGCTGAGGTTGGAACGGACCCTTTCCTTGCCTAGTCCAATCCCCCTGCTAAAAGCAGAAGACATTGTCTAGTAGTGTTTTGAGTCTCCAAGGATGGCAACTTCACGGCCTCTCGGGGCAATCTCTTCCAGTGTCACCGTCGCCATAAAAAAAGTTTTTTCCTTATGTTTAAATGGATTTTCCTGTATTTCAATTTGTGCCTGTTGCCTCTTGTCTGTGCATTAGATAACACTGAGGAAGGTCTGGCTTCCTCTTTACACCCTCTCATCAGTTATTTATACAAATTGAAAAGTTTCTCAACGCTAAACAATCCAAGACTCTCAGCTTCTCCTTGTATGAATGATGCTGTAATCCCTTAATCACCTTTATGACCATTTGCATGTGCTTTTTAAGCATCCTGTCTTTTGATCTTGTCCAATTAATGTATGACCTTAAGTAACTTGAAAAACATCCTATTATGAATTCCAAAGAAAATATTTTAGATTCAAAACAAGTACACAGCCAGTAAATCTTTATATTGCTTGACAACTATTGAGATTCCCAGTGCAAACTTACTTACCAATTAATCCAGAGACAAATTCAAATGCCAGCTAACTGACTTGATGAAAACCAAATAGACACATATAACTTTCTAAATGTATAAAGGTATATATGCAAATACATGTGTTTCTATAGATCCCCTAAATATATATATTTTTTAAAAATGCGTATTTCACAACAAAACTGTTTTGATCAAGAGTTATCACTCCCCCATATCATAGGCTGGAGGACTGAAGAATGAAAGTAGATTTTTCCTGAAAGATCAATTAAAGTCCTATAATAGAGGGCTGCGAGAATGGAAATAAAGGAAGTGTTTTGAACAAGTGTCTCCATTTTCACAGGCCTCTGAGAAAGAGCTTTAATAAATACAAATTAAAAGGGAGCTGGAGGAACGAGAACAAGAAGTAGTATATATCTGCCAGAAAAATCACATGAAAACATTTCCCTCTCTTTCTGGAGCAAGGCCTGATCACAGCCCGAGCAAACCTCACACTTCAGTGCCGGAGCAATGAAAGACCTTATAGAGGAACTGAAAGAATACTAAAGAAGAATAGAAAGAACGTGAAAGGCCCACAGAGGAATCTGTTTTTGGCACTTACTCCATGCTAACAGAGTAAGTGATTTAATTGTATAGATAAAATTGTTTGAATAGATACAATAGATAGACAACTGAAATTTGTTATTGAGATATCAAATTTCCTCTCTGTGAATGGCTTATAGGCATTGTTACATTTGGCTCTGCTGTTTGTAATTATCGAATCACAAGATATTCTTCAAACAATATTAACTAAAAACGCCAATGACTAGTGCTCCACAGATGCCTAACAAAGTACAGCCTCGCCCCATATGGAATGGAAATGCTTTCCTTCTCTGATTTCCTTCTAGAGCCGCCAGAGTTCTGTGTTGTGGATCTGAACGTTACGGCTTTAGGCTGTGCCAGTAGCACATAAACACATAAGGTTGATGGTGTGTGTTGGGAGGTGTGTGTGTACAGGGATCAGGGTGAAGGTTCTGAGGGTGTGACGTAACCTGGAAAAGAAAAATGAGGTGCACAGGTGTTGCTCATCAGCAAAAGAAAATAGGTGGCAGTTACCAGAATGACCTCTCTTACCTGGCCATAGCTCTCTCCCTTGCTGTTTACCAGAAAAGACAGTGTAGGTCCTCAGGGTAACATCTTGCTGAGCCCTCAGTCATTCCAGAAAAGGAAAGCTACAAAGGAAGCCTTTATCCATTGAGGAGTTTGGAGGCCAAGAGTGGAAGGAAACAAGAGGATGCTGCAGCGTGAAGCTACATGCTGTCTCTACATTGAAAGCAACATGCAACTCTGGTGCATCTTTTTGTATCTTGGGGAGAATCTGAAAGTGAGCAGAGTGACTAATTCCTGTCTCAACAGAAATGTCTTTCTGTCTTGCTAGCTGGGAATCAGAATTTTAGAGTAGGGAGATGGGAAGTTTGGTTGTGTGTTCAGAAGGTGGAAAATTACACCACTATTAGTTCCAGGAAGTTTATAACTAGATTTAGAAAGGTAGCTTCTACATCAGAGGCAGTTAAGATCTGAGAGGCAACAATATATTGGTGCATACTGTGAGCTTTCCCAGCATTCCTGGATGTACTGGGAGCCTGTATGGCTGCCAGACAACTGGATACTCATACCATTAACCTGTGAAGTTACACAGTTGGCACTGGTATGTATACTTAAGAGTAGAAAGGAGGATTTCTACATATAAATTATTAAATCAGCGATGGCAATAATAGCAATCTAACTTGTTTGTACTTTTGCAGTACACTCCTCTGTCTCAATTCTACTACACTGCTTTGTGTTGTGTTAACCGGGTTATAGCAAGTCTCATCGGGTTTAATAAAAAAACCCAAGTTGGCGTAGACTGAAATTCTGAGGTGGCTCACTTAATCATATATCTACTCTCTGGTAAGATCTGAAGGAGTCTTTCCGTGACACACTGTTTGTGATAGCTGAGTTGGTACCATTTGTGGGGAAGTAAGAGACAATCTTTGGAGCATGAGTCAGCTGCCTGAGCAGGCATTATTTCTTGGAAGAGCTATTTTGCATTATTAATGGATGTGAATTTTATGCAGAAATGGAAAGCAGCTTTATTTTATACTGAAATTAGGTGTTTTGCTGTTTTGTGTGCAACAGTTCTCATTGCGTTTAAACCCTTTTCCCTAATTTGCTAAGCATTTGAGGCCTCTCCTTTGGGAAAAGCTAAGCCTGTTTTGATACTTACTGTCAAAAAGAATGACTCTGCCATCCCCACCACAAGGCTGAGTATGGTCTCCAAAGCAAACACTGTTGCATTCCGTACTGGCTGCCTCCCCGTATCTCCAGTAGTCGGGATTATTTCCACAGAAACAAGCATAACCTGATTCCATGCCTGCAAACTTTGACAACAAAGATGCATGAGGAAGGGAGGGATAATATTTAAAGGAGTGACAGCAGGAGGTTGTATGAGCAAGAAAGCTGGCAGCAGAGTATGTGTGTTTTGGGGAAGTATGATTAGTCAGAGGTCCCATGACAAACCGTTTTTGTTTGAGCTGTCAGAATGTTACTTAATTACATTTCTCATTACTTGAGAAAGTTGGAATGGAGGGCATTTAGGGTACTCTATCACTCATAACTGCAGTAAGCAAGCTACTTTCTTCTGGCATCCTGGCATTATTCATTGGTCATTTGCCCAGGCTGCTCTCGATGCAGAGGGAGAGCTAGATCCCCTGGAGTGGCAGTAAGACCTTTGATCTAAAGGTTAAAAAAAAAAAAAAAAAGGAGGAGGAGAAATATGATCAAGAGCTCTAGGCATATTGCCATCTTTTGTCTTTGAAAGCATTTTGTAAATGTATGTCAAAGAAATCACCTTAAATTGTTGACTTCGGCAGGAACTGATGCATGTTTGGATAGTAAGTTTATTGGAGGTCTCACTGGTGCCAGTCAAAGGTGGTGGCTCTCCATGATCCTTGTAACACCCAAGGTTCCCTGGCACTGGCAAGAATAACAGACAACAGTCATTCTAAAGGTGTGCCTGGAAACACCCAAGACACAGACCACTTTAAGCACTGCTTGGTTACTAAGCAGCTCTCTATACGTTCTTGATTTTAAGTATGGAAAATGTTACTCTGTGCTAGATCCCTGTCATATTTTCTAAGCATGCCCAGGGATAAATGACAGGTGGTGAAATAGCATCATATCTTCTTAGCAACATACCTGCTATACTGTGTAGTTGGTTTCTGTAAACTGCAGTAATATAGGCAAGATAAATACTGGTTCACTTCTTCTGATAGACAATTAAAAAAAAAAAAGTCATTAAGTAGGTTCAGAGGTTTTCTGGGTTTTTGACTACAATCATGCATATTCTAACAATGTAAATTAAACAATGTGATTTCTGTGTGATCTTCAAAACAATGATGTTCTGGAAATTTTCTGAATAGGATATTTGATGAAGGGAACCTAAACTGTTTTAGGACAGAGTTTGGCAAGTTTTACAGGAGATACTATATACTTATATAGGGGAATTTCCTAATATTTAAAACTTGAACTCTGATATGAAGTCAAAGTATCATATTTTATGGTCTGTACACGAGATTCAAAATGAGCGATACTACTTTTTAAAAGAAACATGTATTTATACTGTATTAATACAACGTCTCAAGGCTCCTTAGTCACTGAGAGCTCAGAGTTTTCCCCCTCCAGTGCATAATTTGTCCTGTTTCTGGTTTTTTTTGCACTTTTCATCAAAGCACCGGAATTTAGGCATGACTACTAGAGGGAGGATGTGGGGTACAATATAGTGCTGTGCCAATGGCATAAAATTATCCTTTGCCTACTTGTCATATCTGCTCACATGGAATTAAATCTATTACCAGCTCTGTGGACAGACTTTTTTTATCCCTGTACCAGATTGACAAGGATTATTTTTTGTCCACCTAGCCTCCCCAGCTTTGCATAACATGTGATGCAATCAGAGAACTGTAAGAGTTTTACTTATTCAGTCATTTTTATTTCAGTACCTAGTAAACTCTGAACTCTCTCTTGCTATAATCTTGTGGCACAGCACTGTTTCAGATTTTTGACTTACCAATAGGGTTGGGTGGGGAATGCTGGGTTTGGGGTTTTGCAGCCTCTGATGCCTGATAGTATCTGGATTATTTGTTTTGGGGCTCTGTTTGAACTAGCCATCTCTTGTACAGGTGGCCTCAGATAAGCTGTGTGTTAGTGAACTGCTTCTATATAATTGTACTTTCACATAAATACAATAGGAATGCAGTGATCCTTTTGTACTGAGCAGTCTTGTACAGTAGTCTTGAAAGTATCTCTTCACTGGATTCTGGAAGGCCCATTTCTGGGATTTCTTATACATGTCCATGTGTAGCAGCCATTGAAATAATACCTTGAATTCAGAACTTATATTTGTTTAACAAAGATGGTCTCATCCCTGTTGTTTTAGAATATTAAATACTGAGCTGGTAAACTGATGTCAGTTTACTGTTAAAATCTGAATCATCCTGACATCTGGGACAATTAACAGGTCTGAGAACTTGCTCCCAGATTTAGGCTATGTTGCCTATGGCAGCTTCCTTATTTTGAGGAAGAGGGTTAGAGTATCTATTAGTGATCAGCAAATATACTGGCATGTATATGAATATACTCTTAAGGGGGATGATTATAGTATATAAAGAAGAATTAATGAAGTTGGGAAGAAGATTCAAGTATGTATAATGCTTGAATAATTAGATAAATATTGTTCATAAATTTGTTTTCTAAGAATTATAAAATTTCAATTATAAATGCTTGCATGGAGCTATGGCTTTGATATGCCCTGCAGCAACATGCGTGTAAGTACCGAGACTTCAAGTTACAGCCTGGTTTAACATACCTCTGGAAATCCCCGTTTGCAGCCCCACCCCAGCTGAGTACAGCTGCGCAGATAACTCTGAGTGCTCAGTTTTTTACAGCACATGATTTCAATGCCCTGAAAAAGCTTCCTAGCTAACCAACCTAGATCATTCTCCTAGGATACCTGGGATTTCCTAAAAACTCCTGTTACATATAAACAATTTGTTTTAAAATTACCTTTATTGGTGAGATCCTTCAACCTTGTCTCCAGAGGATTAGTACAGTATGTTCCATGCTAAGAAACCAGCCTGAGTAATTTGAAAACTTCTCACATTTTGTAACTAAATCAAGCATATCATTTGTGTACATCCTAAAGCTTAACTAGTCTCTAGCCCAACAGTAAGTGGCAGTTTCTATGCCAGTGCTCAATGCTTTAAATTACTTTGATAGCAAATGAACAAAGTAGCTCAGCTAGAAGCACTTTAGTAGTCCCACATCAAATATATGATTAAACACTCTTCTGAACTGTGACAACACACACAAAAAAATTACTCCTGTATATGCATATATGATTTAGATATGCCAGTTCTTTCTATGGCTACCTGATGGTTCGGTCCTAAACCTGAGACACCACTGAATTACTACTGAAGGGTAATCAGAGTACACATTATAAGCATAATAGTAGAGGGGAGATCATTTGTAATCTGAGTTAAAGAAGTTCTAATTGGCAAACACTGCTTTTATATTGGATCCACAGTGATTACAGATTACTGTTTTTTCAACTATATTTCTAGTATATTACAATAATATGCTTCTCATTCATACTATATTAAACTGAATCAGGATGTATGCATAGGGAGCTACTCAACATAAATCTGAAAGAAGATAGGGTACATTCATGTATGTGGAGCAGCTCTGCAGAAAAGGCCCTGGAGGTCCTCATAGACAGGGAGCTAAACTGGAGCCAGGAGTGTGCCAGGCATCAAAGGCGGCCAACAGGCCTGTATTAAGATGAGCACTGCCAGAGATCAAAGGAAATGATTGTTCCTCTACTCGGCACTTGTTAGGACCACATCAAGACAACTATGTCCAGTTTTGGGCCCACCAGTGCAAGCAAGACATTAATTATCTGAAGCGAGTTCAGCAGAGAGCCAAGGTGCTCAGAGGGCTGGAGCACTCACCCCATGAGAAGAGGCTGAGGGCTGGGGCTTGTTCAGCCTGCAGAAGAGAAAGCTTTGGCAGCACCCCCCAGCAGCTCTGCAATATCTGCATGGAGGTTGTCACAACGATGGAGCCAGGGTCTTCACAGTGATGCATTTTGGACAAGAGGCGAGGAGCTTAAGTTGAAACATGAGATGTTCAGGCTGGATATATGGAAAATCTTTTCACCATGCTGGCAGTCAAGCACAGGAACAAGGGGGCCCAAAAGGAGTGCGCTCTACGTCCCTGGAGGTTGTCATGGCCTGACCAGATAAACATAGCCTAATCTGGCAAGCTGAATAACTTGGTCTGATCTCAGAGCTGGCTCTGATTTGAGCAGGAGGTTGGACTAGACAACAGCCTGAGGTCCTTTCCAACCTAGGGTATCCTATACAGCTATATATAAAGCAACAAAGAAAAGTATTTCTAGACAAGTAGTGACTATTTAGCTATTTGGACCTTCAAAAATTTCCAACATCTTTTGCCTTAATTTGCTCTTAATGTTCAGCCTACTAAAGAAGTTTGGCAAAAATGAGGTAGTGGGTGCTCTGCGATTACTGTCGATGCTTATCAATGATGTCTTACTGTTACATTGTCTTCACCCATTTCTATCTATTTGTTCTCTTGTGTTCTTCTTGGTCACCTCTTTTGTGCAAGCACGCTGTTTTTCTTTTAAGAAGCATCTGACATAACGAGGTCCTGGCAAACACCAGACCTTCCGCATATTACATGTTAGGGCACATGTATTACAACACGGAATTAATCTTTTTGAGCTCAAAACCATGTTCCAGCTATATACATCTAGCTCTCTTTCAAGAGCCTCCTAGCTTCTTGCAATGGTAGCGTGCACCAGTATACTGTCTCAAATTGTGTGAGCTCTCACAACAACTCTTTGTGTTAAAATGTATACAAGTCAAATCTTAGAGTGATCAGTACAGCTCTGTAGAACTTACCTGGCTCTGCCATTTAACACTTCATCAAGATTTCAGTCAAGTTTATTGCATGACATACATGCATGCAGGAAATATGATTCCAATAATGAAATCTGTTTATGTTAAGAGACTCATGCTGGTCATGAACATGGAGATGCAATTAAGTGGGACAGCAAGCCTTCCTTTCTTTTACCTTTTAGGAGCATAAGCAGTTATTTCCTTTGAATTTCAACTTAACCTCATTAGCAAAGAGACCAAAAAAGTCAGGCATAGCTGCAATGTTGCAAACAAACCTTCTGAAGCATTCAGTTCTGAATTCTCCATGTGAGATGCACATGTTCTCTCAGGACTCAGTGCTGCCTTCTTGCCTTTTATTTTGCTTATGTTCATTCTAGTCTGCTTAGCAGACAAGCCATTAAGAAGAGGAGAAGAAGAAAAGACTAAGCTTCTACTGTGGTAACTACCACTGTCTGTTGTGATTATGCCCATCCATCCTCATCTAACATTGCTAAATTCTGTATAGCATGTTTACACATGCAGAATGCCAGAACATGTTTCTGAATGAAACATTTAGTGTTACGTATATTAGTGAACAAGACACATGATATAATCATGTGAAATCATCATTATCATAATGAAAACTTCTTAACTGTAGATTCTTAATTATTGTTACAGTGAGTCATTGCATGCAAATCTCTCTAGGCAATCAAGACGCTTCATGTTGTTGGCACTGTAGTGGTATTATGTGGGTATAGTTTATAGGTAAATTGTGCTCCAGATACTTGTCTTTTCTAGTAATAAATATGATTATGGAAAAGAAGCTTATTTTTTTTTAAATATGACAATTTTTTTACTTCTCTAAAAATTTCAAATAAGATTTCTTTACACAATTGCTTTCTTGCTCCATCACAAAATTTAGTTTTGTATTATGCACTTCGCAATTTGGTTTTGATGGTCCTATGATTTAGAATCATGCTTACTGAAAACAGAAAATCTGGTAAATAATAGAAGGGTTTTTTTATTTGCACAGCTTCATAAACCATGAGGTTTGTATTAAAGACTTGGATGGGCTTGCAATGTACAGTTTGTTCTAAATTGCTGCAATTCCTTTTTCTAGTATCCAGTTTCAGTGCAATGCTTGAAGCAGCTGCTACTGGTCAAAAGGACATTTTGTAAATGTAAATCTGGATTATCAGTGCAAGTAAGTGTCCAAGTTTAAATCCTCTGCTCCCCACCACAGAGAAAATGAGTGAGGCTGGTTTTAAAAGGATCCTTTGTGTAGAACAAATGGAGTGGAGAGAATTTGCCTTTCAGCTTTTTTACTGGTGCCATATCCAGAGAGTTTATTAACATCTGTGGTCTTTAAAGAAAATGCAAATTCTTTCATTTTAGACCAAAATAAATTTCTTAATTAGGAGGGTCATGTTTCCTAAACAGGACTTTGTATATTAGAAAAATAAGAGTAAGATATCCTCTGAACAATAAGGATTGGAGTGCTGAATGATTTTACGTTATTTAAATTAGGCTCCTTAATCTGTATTTAAGTCTAGGTAAAAGTCACCTGACTTAAGGTCACACTGTTTGTTTGCCTAGCCTGAGGAGGTGAATCACTCACATTCACAAAAAATGAAAACCGTGGACAAAGTAAAAAATTACTTTAGATCCATTTTTCTTTGTTTGGTTTTCTCTTCTTAACTTCAAGTAAGGAATGCACTTCTTCCAATCAAAAGTATACCTACATAAGGACAACTGCTCTGATGCTTAATAGGATACACATAAGCAAGTTATCCTTTAGAAATAGAGAGTACTTGCACAGAAGTTAGGAAAGTATGTAGAGGCATTAATGATTAGCCTTAATAAAATGTGTAGTTATGGTTGCTTGTTAACATGCAAAACTAGAATAACTTTTTTAATATTTAGGCATATTTTAAAGAATGTTGTTAGGAGTTTGTCCTGGAGCATTCAGAAATTAAAATTTTGGAACATGTTGACACAAGTCATGACAAAACCTCCACATTTTGGACAAGGTAGATAATAGAACAGATTAAAATTAAAGACAAATAAATACTGGAAGGAAGCTTCAGGTGAATAGCTTGTGAACTCTCTGTTAAAAAAATTCCAGTTTGAGGTTTCACAGCAATGCTAATTATATGCACCTGCGAGGAACAGAATTCTAGCCCACAGCTCCCATATACCAAAAAAGCCACCTTACCCCTACCTCCTCTCATACTGCCTATTTCTTCCAAAGAATTCTGTGTATAATGTGTTATACACATTAAATTAATGCCATCCACTTTACAAGCTAATTGCAGATGATGGACACATACCTACCTTGCAAAAAAATTAATGAATTATTTCCTATTCATTTTTGTCCTCTGGATTTTAATAAATACCTCTATGGACATATCTCTATGGATTCAAAAAGCTAGCAAACTTTGTAAATTCTGAATGATTCTCTGTCTAGTATTATTTTTAAATAATATAATCCAGTAATTCTGAGGTGAGATTAAAAGGACTGCAATGGAGGAATGATTCAGTAAGCTTGTCATTAACTCTAGAGACCCATTTAAAATATTGCTTAGTCTGCATATAGAAATAAGATGACTGGCCTTATCCTAGTTTCTGTATGAAAATCACTACCCACTGTTGTATAACTGCCAATCTCTGTTCAACAGAGATGCAGGCCTAAAAAACTGCATGATGCTCTTACTTCGGCAGGATGGAATCTCACAGTATTTCCAATATATTCCATCCTCATGCTCTGCAATGTAACACCATGGGCTGACATCTCCATCAGGGTTCCTGAAAGAGAAAAATAAAGTGAAAAGTCATCAAATATTTCCAGAAACTACATAAAAATAAATTTCATTAAGCTTCAGCATCATCACTATTTTTGCTCTAATAACTACTGAATATTTAGCCCATAACTTACATACCGATAAAAATGCAAAACTGATCAGGAAGTTCAGAGAGCTTTGGTTATTACGGTACACAGCAAGCATAAAATGCTAGTAATGTCTAAAACATAACTTCTTTTAAGTCTGAAAGGTGCCAAGCTATTTCTGGACAGTACTGAGACAGAGGAAGATTTTTCAGTCCCACATCCTGCATGCAGGTTCCTTAGACTCCTAAACTTGATTTTTGCCTTAGTACAAAATAGCCCAGACTCCAACTTTCTGTATGTATGACGACGAAAACATTTATATGATAAAGTCTTCTGGGAAAGACTGAGGTCTTTTCTTCCCCTTCAGTAAAGCTGAATAAATATGTTCCAGTCATCTGATCTATTGATGGATGAGAATGGATGCCCTGTAGAGAAGGACTTGGGGGTATGAGGACGGAAAACTGCCTGTGAGCCAGCAGTGTGTGCTCACAGTCCAGAAAGGCTCCCGTGTGCTGGGCTGCACCCAGAGCAGGGTGGGCACAGGGTGAGGGGGGGATTCTTCCCCTCTGCTCCGCTCTGGGAGACCCCCCTGCAGGGCTGGGTCCAGCTCTGGGGGCACCAACAGCAGAAGGACACGGACCCGCTCGAGTGGGGCCAGAGGAGCCATGGAGATGCTGGGGGGCTGGAGCACCCCCTGTGAGGACAGGCTGAGAGAGTTGGGGGGTTCAGCTGGAGAAGAGAAGGCTCCGGGGAGACCTTAGAGCGGACCCCCAGGGCTGAAAGGGGCTGCAGGAAAGGGGGGAGGGACTCGTAATCAGGGGGGATGGATAGGACAAGGGATAACTGGCTTAAACTGAGAGAGGGGAGATTTAGATGAGATCTGAGGCAGAAATTCTTCCCTGTGAGGTGGGTGAGGCCCTGGCACAGGCTGCCCAGAGAAGCTGTGGCTGCCCCCTCCCTGGAAGGGTTCAAGGCCAGGTTGGACGGGGCTTTGGGCAACCTGGGCTAGTGAAAGGTGGCCCTGCCCAGGGCAGGGGGTGGCACCGGATGGGCCTTAAGGTCCCTTCTAATCTAAACCATTCTATGAGGTAATTCCTTATGTATACATGATTACCATTTGCTGTTGTGCAGCATCATTTACAAATGAATACCTACTTAGTCATTAGGTTATTTAAAGTTTTTTCTATGCCCACTTTGAAAAACAATTCACTTCAAAAAGATCACTTTAAGTGAATAAATTGTTATTTTGGACAGTCAGGTTGAAATATGACCTTTTCTTGTAACTAGGGCCAACTGCAATCTTTTTATCATATACTTGGGCATAATTCTATTAATGAGACCCCCCTACACTGAAGTTTCAGTTCAGCTGCACGTTGTCATTTGGGCATATTAACAACTCTTTGTGGGAGATCCAATTTTAGAACTGCTGGGGATGTTTTTTGGTCAAGTAACAAAATGCTGAAGACAACTGGTGAGCTGAATTCAATTTAGCTGACTAAAATGCTGCTAAGTTAGGCTTTCAAACAGACTAGTAGAAATAGTGGATGAGGAAAGCCTAAGACTAGTGTGCTAGGAATTTAGGTATAATGGCAGAGCTTCCGGTGGCTAAAATCAAGGAAAGCTTTTACTTGAAAGAACACAATTTTTCTTGTTTACACAGGTACAGGAAATTTTGGGTTTACACCTGTGTGACAGAAATCCGATGTTTGTAACTGAATCATGGTAATGACACTCTACATATAAATGCCTTAAACTGCAAGGAAATTGCAGAGAAATATGATTAATGTCTTTAAAAATCTTTGCCTTGAACGTCAAAAGTGCATACAGTTAGAAAACAATTGAGTGTCTTTCAAAATCTCCAAAAACTTCAGCCTGTTTAATTCTGTTAGGGCTGAAATGAGGTTTAGTGGAACATTACCAGGCATTTCCATTTTAACAGGGTGTCTTGCAGTAAACAAAGTATTCCAAGTAAGGACCACCCATGGAGAGATAACATGCTTCTGATTAATGCTTTAAGTGTAAAATTAGATTATTCAAATGTCCCTAAAATGGAACTTCAAAGCAATATATTATGCCTTTAAAAAGCCTTGTGAGGTATGGGTTGCCTCAGAGAAGGGAAGATCAACTTGTTCATTGTCACCAAGCAAATGAATGGCAGAGAAAGAGCTAAACCAGTGGTATCTTCACTCACAAGGCCTCAACCAGATTTGCATGCTAAAGATATGCTCTGACACTCTTAAAACAGTGGCTTTCCAAGTGTTATTTTTTTTTTTTTTAAAGAATGCAAATTTGAAAAGCATCTGTTAGTTAGGAACATCATTCCATGCACCTGTGAGAATATTCCTGGGCCAAGTGATATAGTGTAAGAAAGGAAATGGCTAACCTTCCAGTTAAACTCCATCTCAAAGAGGATAATCTAACACATAGCAGACTGAGGTTAAAAAACTGTATTTGGTAATCAAGTAATTTCTCAGGCTTACATACTAGATTATAGGCTTCCTGCTCCTTGTAACACTTGGCAAATTCTCATTTGCTAAGTGAGGCTCTAGTAAGGATTACTTGATTATCTGGATAAATATTTGTTTGTTATGTATATGTTTTGCTTTGTATTAGCCAGAGATGACTGTCAAAGGTAAGACCCTGTAGATACAGTCTATCTAGGATAGTCACACAGCAACAATCAAAATTATGTTCCTGATTCTGCTATTTGTATCAGAGATAATGCAGTGGCCACTAGCCTTTTTCTAGCTCCGTACTAGTATGCATACTGAGGAACACAGCTCACTACATTCATGAAAATTGTTAGGCATGACAATTGGTGGTATTGGGCTGAGGGAGGCTGTGAAGTTGGTGCAAAATGTTTTTGATGGGAACAGTCCTTCCAGTGCTTACATGCCGAACTGATACTAGACAGCTTGATGGGTTTCTTTGGTTTCCAGGCCATTTTTAAAAGAGAATGCCCAACTTCTATGGAGTTTTGCTTGTAGGTGGTGTATTTTTCTTTGTTCCTGTAAGATGCTGAACTGAGTAAAAAGAGAGTCAATTCAGAACTTGGCAATATTACTTTCTCCTTCTATGGCTGAAAACAGAGTCCGCTGGTGCAACACATTGAACAGCATTATTTTGAAGCACTGCTGCAGCCCCTGGAAAAGATCTTGAGTAAGTCTTTTTCTTGCCTGTCCTTCACCAATGTTCTTCAATAAGAAATATCCTCCTGAGTCATCAAATACTCCAGAAATGCCAGTAACTCCTTTCATCAGTGTGCTCATCTGTTTGCTGCACATCACAAGACCTCTTTTCTGTGCTTTTTCTTACTTACTCCATTAACTGGTGGTCTTCATCTTGTTTTATTTAATGTCTATTTATGATTAAATATGGAAAAGTTCTTGAATCAAGAACCAGGACCCTACATTCATGTTAAATGTGCTGAACTCCTGTTTATTAATTTTGCCTGATTTATCCTGATTTATATTGCTTGCAGTGAAATAATTTCAACATAAAAGTGGCAAGTGTATAGGCTCTACCCTAGAAAGCCTGTAACCTGCTAAGTAAAAGGATCTTCCACACAGAGGTGTGGTTTGAACCTTCTCACAAAGGAGACAGACATTAGAGCTTTTCTTGCTATGTCCCAGGTAACTCAGTTCTTAATCTCTTGGTTTAAACATCTCTGTCCCCACTACCTAGTGAGTAAGAGACACCACTCAACTTTATATGCATCCTAGATGAGCTGATGATTAAGGAACGTATCTGTTTATGGAATGTATATATCAGATTATTCCCTACCTACTTCTGCAGCAAGTATAGATGGGCATAAAACCAGCTGGTTAGTCCTGCAAAGGCAGAAGGTGTGCATGTAACTTCCTGATGCATAACATTAGGCGGTTAAATGTTACAGACTGAAAAGAGCTTGCAGAGCCTGAACATCTCTGAACATAGGTTTTTACTTGGTTCCTAAATTCTGAGGTTCTGATTTAAGCTTCATTCTGAGTTCTATCCATAGTTATGGAAGACTTCTCTAGAAGGCAAGGAAATGAAAGTGAATCTGCCATGGCTTAAGATGGTATTGTAACCACTGAGAGTTCAGCTTCTAAATTCAAATATAAACTCTAAATTACTCAACAGTTTATGCTCGCTGGGAATCTTTAGTGATGACATAACTTTCATTAGTGCAAAACTTAGAAATATGTATAACAGAATCAGGCTTGTGGGTGAGGATAAAAACCATAATGTTCCAGAGACTCCTACCAGACATTCACTGGTGCTTCTGTACTTCTGGCTTGGATAAATTTTTTTACTATCTCCACCTTTTCATTTAAGTAATCTCTACTCTTTCTCTATTATGCCAAATTACAGATTGGATATCTGATACGGACTTCAGGTGAGAGCTTGGTTGAAGAAGTTCTTCTAATAATGGTGCTTGTAGATCCAGGGTACTGACTACAGGATAAACTAAAAGTTGTTAGATATCCATGGTTCTGTCATTCTTCATTGTATGACAGAAAGTTTCCTAATTTTTTATCAACTGTTTAAAGTAACACTGGGGATATAGACTGCTAGTAGCAATGAGATACTACTTACCTGCAGTAGTTATGCTCTCCGAGCCCTCCCTCTCCGTTGGGATATTTCAGAGTATTATAAGGATGCTCAAAGGTCTCATTCCAAAAAAGACAAGGTTTCCCTGCATATTGGGAGGTCTGGTTCTGAGTGCCACGATAGTCAGCCCCATTTGCTGTATAACATTCTGGGAAGAAATGGAAATGGGAAAAAAAGAATGTATGTAGGTTTAGCGTTCAGTTCTTCCCTTGCCTTCCACCCCATCCCCAAGAGACCATGTTTCCTTTAACTAACAGGTTTCCTGCATACTAAAGATGCTGTCTAGGATTTAAGTTTTCTCTTGGAGACAAACATCTATTAAAGAGATCACGATTTCATTACTTTACTAAACAATGTATTAGACAGCTAGGTCTGAAAAGTGGTTAATACAATTAACACATATTTTCTGAATAAGCATCCTACATTTTTTACTGTTTTTCCTGTGGTTTATTCATTAGGATGAATTTCTAACTTGTTAATTTTCCAAAAATGAAATCAGATGATGTTATCAGTCTGCCACTTATCAGCATACTACCCAAAATCTCACGCCAGTTTAACTACAGTTTTGAATAACTGTACTTTATTAAGTGAAGCTTTTGTAGGCATAGATTTTGCAAACATTTATATCCCAATTTAGAGAATTTTTTTAGCATTATTTTCTCTGACCTGAATACCCTTAAAAAGGGACCTCCTTTGGTAGAGTATAATCATGATACTGTGATTTGCTACTAAAGCATTTATGCCTTCAGATTAAAATTTACAGGTTAGTATTCTTCTGCCTTGCTCATATTTTCTCCCATTTATGTTTGTTTTCCTAGCTTCCTAATACTCAACAAATTAGAAATCAAAGCAGAGAATGATTGCTCTAGTCATTAAATACACTATTGCCTTCTCAGCTGAACTACAAATCTCATGCTGCCTGTCTTATTAATGACATATTCTGATCAAATAAATATTCATATGCATGAACAATTTTACTTTCAATAAAAATGCAAAAAAAAATTTATTAAATTATGCACTGTGAGGGAGACAGAGCACAGGAACAGTTTGCCCAGAGAGGCTATGAATCTCCGTCCTTAGGGATACCCAAAAGCCATCCGGACACGGTCCTGGGCAACCTGCTTTAGGTGACTGTGCTTGAGCAGAGGGGTTAAACAAGATGACCTCCAGAGGCCACTTCCAACCTCAGCCATTCTGTGATTCTGTGATCATCTTTCAGAAACAGTCATTAAAATTAGTCTAGCATAAATAAGTTCATCCTGCTTATAATCAATACTTGGTAGCATTTAACATCCACACATTTATTTTAATATAGTACTAAAATACAACAGTTCATGACCGAATTAAAACTGCTGCATTACACTGGTGTAAACATTTCTTTATACTGAGTAGCATTACTGGGGAAAGTCACAAAGCTTCCTACTAACTTCAGACTGCGCAACCTTCTATTTTATCTGATAGTATACTCTGTGGAAACCAGTAACGGCTGCAGAGATGTTCTGCTGCCCTGAGGGAACGGGAGAGTGCTCTGAAGTGCAGCATGGGGATCTCAGGTGTCCCTCCTGAGGTGTACCTTACAAAACAAGGCTAGAAAGACCAGTGTGGCTGCAGTTGGATGAGGAAAAAAAAAAACCTCCCAGCCTCATCCTGATAGTAACAGTACACCTTTTGTGTATTTAGAAATACTGTGGGAGAAGGTAAAAGGTATTATTAAAACCATGCTTTTGAAATTAGTTTAGTCTGGGCCCACAAATATCAGAATGGTGCAATTATAATGATTATTTCAGTTTTATTACACAAGAGATGAAACCTAATGTTTTTGTGCCTTCACTGTGCGTCTTCATGCCTAGGCAAGTTAGGATTTCTGTTATATGGAATTTTGTTGCTGAAGGCACACAGAAGAGGTGCATGCACAGCCATTAATGTGTACTGCTACAATCTGTGTACAGAAAACTATCTAATTTAAAAAAATAAGCTTCATGTCAGTACTCCTCCTTCCTGTAATTTACCTGGCTGCCTTAGACATGCAGGTGAGCTACACAAATTTACTTGAAAATGCAAATCTGATTTTCCAGTATACTGGCCACCATAGATATTTGCATAAACATATGAAAAAAACCCCAAACCAACACTTTAAAGTCACCACAGTGTTGCAACTTTCTTCAATACCTCTCTTGCTTTGCAGTTAATGTAAAAGTTTTTCTGTGTCATAGCTGAAAAATATAACCTGATGAATTTGGCAGAAAAGAGAGGAAAACATAAACTGGATAAACAAAATGATATAAAGAAGCAGTTGTGATAAGTGATAAACACATCCAGAAAAGATCTCTACTTCAGCTTAGTGCTATTACTTTTTTTTGCTTCTCACTTCTAAATGAGAAAGAGTATGTAGTAACATCTACTCAGAAATGCAAGGAATGCTACAATACCTGAATGTAATCTGGCACAGAGACTAAACCTAAATTAACATCAGCCCATTTTAGGATCTGCTAAGACTGGGCCATGCTTTAACTTGTAGTAGCAACGGCCTTTCATTTTCATGTCTTGGTTTTGTTTGTTTGGTTTTTGTTGTTGTTTTGTTGTTGTTGTTGTTGTTGTTGTTGTTTTTTTAAAAAAAAAGGTTTCTTCAAACTTCATTGCACTTGTACTTTAAGGACATGGCACAAAAGGAAGAGACAGAGCTCTCTTCATCCCTCTTAGCTGTAGTTTTTTGTTCCTGAGACAATAGGTAGCTGTAACAGTGCCTCTCGTGTTCTTTTGCACTACCAAGAGATTTGCGAAAAATGTGCCAGCTGAGTTGTAGTGAAGCTCCCCTGTCTTTGTTAGCATCTAGATGTAGAAGGGGAAGGCAGCAAGATACCACATAAAATCATTGATTATCCCAGAAAAAATTAAATTAAAACTTTAAGTTATGGATTTTAGCAGCTGTTACCAAATGAAATATATGCCTTTTTGTGTTACAGAGAATTTGCTAGCAAATTTTCACTTTGTTAATGATTAATATTAATTTTGCCATAGCACTGGAGTTTTTCAACTTTTCAAGTAAATATTGGCATTTAAAAATCAGGTCCTAGGTCATTCTTTTACCTTGAACAATCAGCTTTGAGATCTCCTGAGATACATTTTGTACAGTTTTCTGTAAAATTCCTAGTAACATGGATATAGATCTCTCTGCATATTCAATATCTTAGCAGTAAACAGATGAATTCTTCTATTTATCACACAGCCATTTTACCGTATTTTGCTGCAAAACAGCCAAGACACTACTTTAGCAATCTCACTACGAGACACTTAAAGACAAAGGTCCTAAGAGATTCCAGAGAAGAGGAGGTTAGAACCTCCATCCCTCTTTTCGTCTTGTGCCACTGATGCAATAGTTCTGTAAAAAGGATGAGCTTAAAAAAGGTGAGCCAGATTTGTCTGCACAAAACTAACTCAGAAGAGGTCATCCAAATAAAACAGTCAGAAAAGAGTGAACATTATTGGTAAAACTCTTGATCTTACTCAAATTACCTGATTTCTCCTTGGTAGATTATGATCACATAGAAGGGAGGGGAAAAGAAAGAAACCTACCAACAACCACCTCTCCTTGACTGTCCTGGCACCCACTGGATCCAAGTACCTTTTGTTGGTTGATACTTCCATATTACTTGAGGTACAAAGCCCTTCACTTGGAATCTAACATCAGAACAGCAACTCAAGTAAATTAATAACAGTTCTATGAATTTCAGCAAGCCTTATTCCTTAAAGTTTTGTAAGACTATGGTATACTCTGACAGAACTTGCATGGTATCTAAGTCCTCTCTGGGTGGCAAAGAGATCAAGGGAAGAAAAGGCACTTCGTGGAGGCTAAAGCTGACAGCTTCCTAGAAGGCATCAGCATGCCACTGTGCTTGATAGATTTGTCACATGGTTTCTGTTCATGCACCCGGGGTTCAGTTTAAACTATCCTGTTAACCATAAACGTACATTAAATCACTAGGGCTTTAGACAGGACACAGAGAAAGCGGTGACCATTTGCATCTTGAAGTCTCCAACCTCCTCATATTTCTGAGATCTTGGTCAGCTGCGTTTCAGATATAGTCTAAGTACAGGCTTGTGTCAAATCCATTATTAAAATCAATGCCCGTGATTATTTCACTCTATTAACTGCCTAATGACTGCACTGCTTCTACTGTTTTGTAGGGATGTCTGCAAACAGAATTATTCAGAAACTGAACCACTGCAGCAGTTCTACTTAGGAAAGCTGATAAGTTCCAACAGGTCTTGTTCAGGATAATGTTTATGAGCCTTAGTGAGAAAACATGGATGGCACTGTGCTGTCAGGGCTGTTTTGTTTTCAACGCATCAGGTGCCACGGTTGATGCAAACATTAAGGTTTGTTTTTTTTTTTTGAATGAATACTGAGACTAGATATGTATGTATTGAGTGACAACCGCTAGAAAGAAAAAGCAGGAAAATAAGCCTGTGGATGGTTGTCCACTATGAGTGAATGTTCCGCGTGTGATACAGGTTCACAATTAGTTTTATTAGAGCCAGATCAACATTTGGAAGATCAAACAGCAGCTGTAGTAGAAATTTTTTCCATCTGTCTGGGTTTCTTCTTCGATGTAGGGACCTTACAATGATCATTTAGGCCTTTGTTACTTTGGGACTGTATGGCTGCCTGCACTCCACATGGGCACCACTTTAGGATCGTTTGAAAAATTAAGGTAGTGCAGACTACAGCAGCTTGACTTTTTTACTGAATGAAGCACGCTGATGATAAAACACTAACATTTCAGAGTCTACGTTGGCTTCCAATGATTCTCTAAGATGGACTTCCAAACACTGGTTTTAATCTCCAAAATCCTTAATGGCAAGAGGCCCAGCTACCTGAGAAACTCTCATTTCTTGCCACATTACCACACACAGAAATAATACACACATTTGAATTTCATCTGCAGTTTTTTCTGTACAAATGAGATGAAAAACAAAGCAAATGGCTATTCACTTCTCAAAC